ACAGGCAGACTGCAACAAAGGAAGATGTTCAATGTCCTCTGCCTGCCGCTTGCATAATCACTCACACGCACGTGCCATTCACACGTATACACCGCACATAATCACTCACACGCATGTGCCATTCACACGTATACACCACACATATCAAGGATGATGATGACGATGACAATGATGTCACAGACTGAGTGGCTTAAACAGAAACTTATTCTTCACAGTTCTGAATGCCAAGACATCCAAAATCAAGATGCTGGCCAATGTAGTTCCTGGCAAGGGCCCGTGAATCTGAGATCTGGCACTACCTGGTTCTAACACACAATGAGTTCTCACTAAATGCTTGAGGAAGGGAACGTTTATGCTATGACCTCTCTCTGGAATCTTATTCTCATTCATGCAGGTCCCACCTTCCAAATCCATGACACTCTTGAGTCAGGGATTCAGCACAGAGACTTTGAGAGACAGTGACTATTCACTCAGTCTACAGCACACCTACTTTATGCCAGGCAGAGTTCTGAGAAATCCTCAGAGAGCTAGACTGGGCACCGCATGGCAGAGACTCCCCAGGGCAATGAGTGTGTGAGAGGCCGTGGGGCGGAAAGCAACTGTATTAGGAACCTGAGCAGGTATACTCACCTTTAAGGAACTGACTGCCTGAGAAACCATAACAAATCTATGAAAAGCCAGGTTCCCACAACTTAAGATTTAAATAATGCTTCAAGACCCTACACAGAAGCCTTAGTGCAGAACAGCTTGGCAGAGCCACTCACCAAGGAAGGCTGGTTTACCACATCTATTCCGTGTCGTGCACACTATCATTATCCACACTAACAAATGTTTTGTCGTTAAGCTGAAAGCCGCTTGACACGAGGGAATGGGCCTTTCCCCACAAAATAGGGTTAAGAATAGGGATGCATAGTTGTTCAGTTACGTGTGATTTGGAAACCAACAGGCAACAGACATGTTCATGTGAGTACCACATGCCTCCAAGAGAGGGGGAGGGGAATTCATTTGCGGCCAGTCTGATGATGTATCTTGCTCCAAGAACTGCGAAGCATGGGTCATTCAAACTTTACCGACATTCAGTCACATGCTTTCTTATCCCCAAGTACCAGCTCAATCCAGAAATAACTCCATGCCTCTGGTCCCAGGGAAGTTGGGAAAGAAGCCTCCAGCAGCACATTGTATACACTGCACAGGAAGCATCTCCCTCCTCCAGGCCTTTGCAGCCGTTTCCAAATGTCTCCTCAACGTAATGCACACCCATCCTAGTAAAACCAGGCAGGACAATGTTCCCGGACATAAAAGGACTGACCGAAAAGCAGCGAAGGGGAAAAGGCCCCTACACCTTACCTAATCCAAAACAAACAGTACCAGAGTCTGGAGAGAGAGATTTGCCAAAACAGATAACGCAACTGGGACACTCCCTGTTTCCAGAGACTCTGCTCTCAGACAGTCTGAGTCCAGCCTTGTGATCTCAGGCAAATCACAGCCCCTTCTTGGGCCTCTTTCCCCTCATCTGTAAAATAGGGCTCTGGACCAGATCCCTGACTTTAAGAACTGAGGAGTTTACCAAGAAATTCCAGTATCAGCTTTCATTAAGACTTAAGCAGTAAGGCATTCTGAAAACCCCGACAAAGCCACAGCTTCTCCCTAGAAGACTGAAAAGACACTTAAAATAAGAAACACATGATAATATAATAAGCGAATCACTGATTCTCTCCTCTTTTTAACCCATTCCTTTTCAGAAGAAATGGCATCTGCACAGTTATTCCTGAACTGAAACAGATATAAATCCTCTCCAGCTCTTTGGAAGCCAGGGTCTCCCCTGCGGGCAGCCCTTGAGAGGAAGCATCCACGCTCAAGGGAGTCAGATCTCGTGAGAAGATGACTGCTACTTTCCAGTCTCCCACCGCAACCACTTTATTCCAAAAGCTCAAAAGGGGTTACTGTGCTCTTACATGTACACACACACACACACACACACACACACACACACACACACACACACAAGTGTAGGCTGGAGATCAATGAGCCTGGAGCTCACTAGATGACTAGACAGGCTAGCCTGAGAGCCCCAGGGATCCACCCGGTTCTCTTGGCAGACTTATAGGTATGTTAATACCATGCCCAGCTTTTGCTTGGGTGCTGGGGATCAAATTCAGGTCCTCTTCCCTCCAAGCAAACACTTCATCCAACTGAGCCACCTTCCCAGCCTCTTAACTGAAAAGACAAAACACCCTGATTCTGAAACCCTACATCTCAGTTGATCTTTTCCTTTGGAAAGCCTTTCCCTTTTCCATCCCCACCATTTCTATCAAGCCAACACTCAGACATCCGGTCTCTGTTCTCTAATTTTACATATACAAAACTGTCTAGCCCGAGGCCTGGAGAAATGGTTCAGTGGTTAAAAGCATTTGCTGCTCTTGCAAGAGGACCTAAGTTCAATTCCCAGCAACTATGTGGTGCTTCCCAACTGTAACTCTGCTTCCAGGAGATCTGATTAATTTTTCAGGTCTCCATGGGCACAGCACACACATGACACACAAAAATGTAGGCATAAAATAAAAATAAGTTAAAAAACCATGCATGAATATTCATGAAGTCTGCGAAATTCTGAAAGAGAATCAGGTGGGTCAGTAACTCATGCAAAGGTGTACCCTTCCCCCACCTTTTTAAAAAATGCAAAACAAGAGTCGCAGGGGCCAAAGAGATGGCTAATCACTTATGGGCACTTGCTCTTACAGAGGACCCTGGTTCGGTTCCCAGCACCCACATGGCAGTTCACACCCATAAGTAACTCCAGTTTTCACGTATCCTCCTCAGGTCCCTACAAGGAACCAGGCACATATCCATACACTCACACATGTAAAAAAAAAAAAAAGGTTTAACTCTGAGCTGGGTGTCGTGGTGCATACCCTTAATCTCAGCTTCCAAGAGGCAGAGGCAGCTGAATCTCTGTGAGTTTAAGGCCAGTCAGGGCTACAAAAGGGTAAGCAGAACAATAGAACAAACCCTGGTATAGCTATGACCTAGGCTAAGATGAAGAACACTGCAAAACAGAAGAAGATGCCCCAGGATGTCCATCCCCTTCCACAATCCTCTTCCTATCAGTTATCTACCACCCTGAAGCCAGGGCTTGTCACTTCAACATAGCTTCCCAACCCCCTGTGGGGCACAGCACAGATCCTCTCGGGGCATAATACTTCTACAAACTTAATCGTCACATAAAAGGTATCATTCTTGAAGCTTTTTATTTCTTGCTCAGTTTTATGTTTGCGACAGGCACACAGAGCGACACACACAACTCTAATTCCTCTGTATTCACTACCCAGAACATGCCACTATATGAATATAATGACTATATCACAGGGTTGATTAAAGATAGTGCCGCATGTTCTATATGTCAGCCAGGCAGGGCTTACAATGTACCGGCCTCTTTCCATGTTTTCTAGAGCCCCCACAGCCACTCAAGGAGCAAAGTAAAATTCACATGAGATCAAAGCAGGAAGTAGACAGAGAGGGATCAAATGTGTCCAACACACATGATGGATGACTCAGGCTGCAAGTTCAAATCCATCCAGGTCTAAAGCCGTACTCCTAACATTAGGCACTGGAATTGCACTTAGGCAGATACTGCCATTATTTAGATGTTTTCAAAATGAAAGAGCTGGTGGGGAGAGGATTCTAAAGTTATCTGAGAAAATCTGAAACAGGAAGCTCAGTTTTCTTTCTTAACAAACAATTCCACCGGAAATTCACCAGTGTCCACATGTACACAGAGGACAAGCGCTGGCCTCTGACAAAAGTCCCTGTGGACACTCTGGAGTCAGTCCCAAGTTCACACAGACACTAAGTTACCTCAAGCTGAACTGCAGGCCTGCCTGGCTTCCTTCAGAGAAACATTTTATGCACCTACCCAAGAGAGTGGAGAAAGGGGCCCAGGAAACCCTGGGGATCAGACCCTGCTGAGGAGACAAGAACCAGCTCCAGGGAGCAGCTCCAGCTGCTGCACGCTCTGCAGATTACCAGGCCACTCAGCTCTCCACTTGGCCAGCTTCGAGAGAGTTGCTGCTTCAAGCCCAGCCCTGTTGCTCTGGAGAAAGCCCAGCTTGCAATACGGAAGAGAAGCCAGAAAGAGAGAGGGTGGAGACTCAGGGAATCAAGCAGGCAGCTTGGGTTAGAAGGTGGGGGGGAGGGGGGGGCGGCGCCCAGTTCTAGGCCGGGGCCCAAACCCTGGGTGCTCTCATCAGGGCAATCCCTAGGAAATGTTAAGGTATTGGTCTCTAGAACTCTCAGCAACAGGAAAAGCTGCCCCAGGACTGGTGACTATTATCAAGCCTGTAACGCTCAATCTCTGTGGGGAAGCCTAAGAAAGACCCCTCCCCCCCATAAGCTGAAGCAACCCCTCCCACCTTTCCCTGCCAAAATAAGGAGCAAGAGGCTGGGGCATCCCCGACCTCTCTGGAGGGGCTGTGGTAAATTATCTCTAGGGGCCCTGCCATCACTTGCCTTTGGCTAGAGCACTAACATTTACAGAGCACTTTAGAGTGGAAATCACTTAATCCCAGAACCCCTATGAGACCGCTATTACCGCTGTTCCCACTTTACAGGGCAGGCAGCTAAAGCCCAAAGGGCATGACCAAGGTCACAGGCAGACTTGTAAAAGGCAGGGTGAAGGGTGGAAGCCTACAACTGTGGGAGGGATACCCTGAGCATCCACTGGACGGGGAGGGTGGGCACGGGAAGGAACCGAGGGCATAGAAGGAGATAAAGGGTCAAAGTGTCAAAGACCTGACTGAATAATCCCCCAAGCCTGCCCCAGCCTCAACGTTTAAGCACAGGTAAAGAGCAAAAGATAAGAATGAGGAAGGAATCAGAGTGGACAGAGGCGAAGGGAGGCTTGAGCAGGATAGGAGGAGGCCATTGGGGCAAGGAAGGAAGGAAGGTGGAGAGGGAAATCTGCAGGCGGAACACGAGTGGGCACCGGGGCGCGATTGTCCCACCTTGAGCACCGTGACTGCACCAGCGCTGTGCACCTGGAAGTGCGTGGGCGGCTCGGCTCCGGGCTCCGCAGCCTCATCCCGGCCCTGGTAGCTGAAGCAGGCGTCGGCGATGTCCAGGTGACCGAGCGGCAGAGCGTCCTGCGGGCTCTTGAAGTAGTAGAGGTAGCAGCGACGCGAGTCAAACACGAACCAGCGGCTGCGGTAGCCGCGCAGCGGGCCCTTGCCTGAGAGCTTCTGCAGGTAGCCGCACAGCCGCGAGGGTTCCCGCCCCGCCACCGCCCCGGCCTCCGAGCCGGTTACCGGCACCGTTTCCTCGCCGCCACCACCACCGCCCTCCTCCGCGTGTGTCCCGGCCCCCGGCATGCCCCGCCGACGGCGCCCGCGCCCCGCGCCTCCGGGCCGCCGCTGCAGCGCCCACCTCCCCGCGCCGCGCCCTCCGCAGGGCCGCGGCGCGCTGAGCAGCCTGGGACTTGTAGTCCCGCCCCCGCCGCGCCCCCGCTGCGTGGGGAGGAGAAGAGGTTCCCTAGCGACCCGGGATTGCTCAACCCGAGTTTCGGCTCATCTTGGAGGCGCCAAGGTTCTCCCTATCCCGGGAAGCAAAGTTCTGTTTCTTTATGCGAGCGTGGGTTCCGCTAGAGGGTTTTTCAAAACCTGTGGTGGGTCCACTTAACACTGCCCGGAACTCTAAATAAGCTTTAAATTTAAAATCTTTGCCCAGCCAGTAGTCATAGATGATAGTTAGAGGGCCTGGTAGAGAGTGGGTGCTCGGTAAATATTTGTAGAGTTTGTGAATGGAAGCCAAAGTATTTACTGCCTCTCCACATCCTGGTTTGTTCACTGAATAAAATATTTATGGAGGGCGTTTTGTGTAGGATTCAAATGCTGGCAGACTCAGCAGTGACAAGCCAATGGACTTCCTGGCCTCATGTTATATTCTAATAAAGCAGAACAACAATGCACACATTTTAAAAAGCAGATACATAGAACAACTGCTTTGCTGTGTGAGTGTTGTTATGACCTGCAAATGATGATTGTTGCTTAAGATAATACCACTGTGCTGGTTAGTGTTTTGTTGACTTGACACAAGTTTCAATCCTTAGGGAAAAAGAAATATTAATTGAGAAAATGCTTCCATAGGACTGGCCCATAGACAAGTATGTGGGGCGTTTTCTTGGTTGATGATTGTGGGAGGTATGACCACTGTGACGACCCTGGGCAGGTGGTCCTGGACGGCATGAGAAAGCAGGTTGGGGAAACCAGGAAGAGCAAGTCAAACCGCGAGGAGCGTGGTCCTCCGTGGCCGCTGCTTCAGTTCCTGCTTCCAGGTTCCTGCCCCAAATTTCTGCTCTGATTTCCCTCCATGGTGGATTATAATCTGTAAAGTGAAATAAGCCCTTTCCTTTCCAAGCCGCTTCTGGTCATGGTGCTTTATTAACTAAAATGTCACTTACCAGTGATGGGTGGGAATGCAGGATTGAGACAGTTTCTCACTGTGTGACCTTGGCTGGTAATCGTCTGGAGATCTTCCTGTCTCCACCTCCAAAGTGCAGGGATTACAGGAGTGTGCTACTCCACCCAACTTCCCAGTACTTCCTGTATTTAGTCATTTCAACCCTCATTAACAACCTCACAAGGTATTCATTTTATTTTATGTGATTTGATGTTTTGCCTGCGTGCTTGTTTTTGTGAGGGTGTCGGGCCACCTAGAATGGGAGTTACAGGCAGATGTGAGCCACTAACTGGGTGCTGGGAATTGAACCTGGGTCCTCCAGAAGAACAGTCAGTGCTTTTAACTGCAGAACCCTCTCTCCAGCTCCATGCCCACCACCACCTTCTCATATTTTACACACACGTGCCCTCTCTCTCTAGTACACACGCGCATGTGCACACACACACACACTTGCACACACACTTGCACACACACACACACACACACACACATCCTATTTAGAGCCTGGACCAGGCTATTAACCTCTTTTTGCCTCAGTCTTTTATTTACTGCCATTGCTATTATTGTGTTTACTGTGCCATTAGCCTTGCTTCTTCTTCAGTAAGCAGATTCTGAGAGGAAAATCTATCCGTCAGACTGGCCTACATGTACAGTAGCCCAAGAGACCTTGGTGCTTTGTGCCAGCTGGGCTTCCCTGGGGAGAAGGAGTGAGGGGAACCAAGTTCAGTTTGAGCCTCACTCTGTGTATATGAGAGCCTGTGACTAACTGGCTTGTGGAGAAGGCAGTCAGGATGGGGTGTGATTTCGAAATGCTATGGAAAAGAGAAGACCTGGGCGAAGCCGATCTGTTCAGCTGAGGTGTGAGAAACAGAAAGATACAGCCCACCTCAGCTCAGTCAGTGGGCTGCAAGAAAGTGGGGTTGGCCACAAACTATGGTCTCAGAGGACAGAGTCAAGTTTTGTAGATAGCACTTGGAAATAGATGTCTGGTAAAAATAAAGATGCCATCCTTATTGGTTAGAGGGAGAGAGCCTCCGCCTTGGGAGAAAGTCTGGGCTGGCAGACTGGAGCAGGTAGATGGACAATACTGGACAAGGGATCCCTGGAGCAAGTAGATAGTACTGGACAAGGGATCCCAAGCTGATCCTGGCCTTACTCTGCTGCATCTGAGTTCTCTGAACACTCACATTGGATGAGAGGGGGGAACCCACTGCAGTGCTGCAGGGCCCTGCCTTCTTCCTTTGGAGACCACACCTTATGTCATAGTAAGCAAACTGAAATGCTCTCTTGTTCCACAGTAAATAACAACAGAATTTGTATATAAAAGTGTTCAAAGATTGGGCTCGGAGAGTTTGCTTAGAACAGCGGTTCTCTGTCGTGAACCATGTTTTTGGGGAGACTTCTGCTGTGATCCTAGCCGCGGTGGATTTGTATGTTCCAGGGTAGGGGCATGAGGATCAGAAACAATTGGTAGGAGGAATAGAAATAAGAAAGGAACACAGAGGCAGAGGATAGCAACAGGAAGGTTGCTGAATTATGAGTTCTGAGTTCACCCATGTTTAATTTCCATACACTTTTATATTCCAATATAAAAGGGGGAGGACAGCAGAAGACTGCTTCAACATGACACAAAAGACAGCCAGAACAGTTACTTGCCTTAATATTTGAGATATCAAGCCATTAATTTTTGAGAAAAGTATTTGCTGTCTGGAGCAGTGAAAATACCCTAGACCTAACCTCCTGCAGGCATCCACTCCCTAAGTCAAACCTCCTATTTCAAAAGAAGGAGCAGAAGTATGCTTGAATCCTGTGACCTCTGGTCAGGGTGGAGTCAATCAACCTCTGCGGGACATCTTAAGGTCCAAAACATCAAGTAACCACACCCTAGGCCAGGATATCTTGTTTTGTAGCCACACCTGTTGTTAACAACTTTGAAAGAGCAAAAATAAGCTCAAACTCTCTGGTTTTCAGACTAGGTGGAATAGGCTCACATTTTTGGGTCCTGACAGCTCCCAACCTTCCTAATGCTAAGATCCTTTAAAATAGTTCTTCATGTTGTGGTGATCTCCAACTATAAAACATTTTGTTGCTACTTCATAACTGTAATTTTGCTACTGTTATGAATTGTAATGTAAATATTCTATATGCATGATATCTGATAGGTGATGCATGTGAAAGGGTTGGTAGACCCCCCCAAAGGGGTTTTGACCTATAGGTCGAGAACCACTGACTTACTGATTAAGAGTACTTGCTGCTATTACAGAAGTCCTGAGTTTGATTCCCAGCACCCACATGGCTCACAACCATCTGTAACTTCAGCTTCAGGGGATATGACCCCCCCAACACACACTCTGTAGGTATGCATGTACATGGTTCACTGTAATCGGAGGTTTTTCTCTCACCTGCCAGTTCCTGAATAACCACTCAGAAGCTTAATATTACTTACAAATGCTAGGCTGATGGCTCAGGCTTATTATTAGCTAGCTCTTACATTTACATTAACCTGTAATTTTTATCTCTGCTTTGCCACATGATTTGTGTTTGTGGGTTGTTGCCTCATCTTTTAAAAGTATTGCTTCCTTGGCAATACTTGGCATCTCTTAGATTCTGCCCTTCTTCTGTATCTCTGCTTGGATGTTCCACCTGACTCTATCCTGCCTTGCCATAGGCCAAAGTAGCTTTATTTATCAATCAATGAGAGCAACACATATTCACAGTGTACAGAAAGATCATTCCACAGCAGTTCTCATAGATACACCCAGGAAAACATTCATACACATAACTAAAAAAAATTTAAGTCATATGATGCATCCATAATTGTGCTCTTGATATTATTTAATGATGAGTTGTTCATTTTAATTTCCTTTTTAATTTTTAAAAAGAGATTTGTTTATTTCATTTTATGTGTATGAGCGTTTTGCTTGCATGCATGTATATGTTCATTTTATGTGTATGAGCGTTTTGCTTGCATGCATGTATATGTACCATAAGTGTGCCTGGTGTCTGTGGAAGTCAGAAGAGGGTTGAATCCCCTGGAGATGGAGTTACAAATGGTTGTGAGCCACCATATGGGTGCTGGAACAGAATCCTGGTTTTCTGAAAGAGCATCAGCTTCTATTAACCATTGATCTATCTCTCCAGTCCCTGGCTATAAATTCCTGAGAATTAACAAATCTACATGGCAATTCTGGCCAATTGAAAAAAAGTCTACAGGGTCTTTTCCAGGGTATGAGCATGTTTATGATTCCTAGCAAGTGGACATAATGTAATACTTTATAGATATTTAAGAAAATGCTTTTTAATTTTGATTTTGTTCTACTTTGTAGATTTCAAAGTCAATACATTCCTGTTTTATTTTTGTAGGGCAGAGCAGGTTCTATGAAGTCCAGGTTATCCTAGAACTTAAACTTTTACCTCTGCCTCTCAAGTGCTTTAATCATAGGCACCTTACCAACACACAGAGCTGCAATTTTTCTTATACAACAGTTATTTCACTGGTTTCTCAAAAGCCAGCATACCTGAACACTGAACCTATAGTCTCTAAAGGATAAACCCCTGCCTGGCTCTGGCCAACCCCAAAATGTGGCTCTTTCTGGAGTCTGAAACCACAGGCCTGAGATTCCCCAGTGACAAAGTAAAGCACCATCTTGGTAGGGATCCATAGAAAGTCTGGTTCTCCCTGAGTCTTGGGAGGTGTCCAAGCCTTTGTAATCAACTCCAAATTCAAGTTGACCTCTACCTATTTGCTAAGGCTACTCTAGGATGTGACTGATTTCATGATTTCTTGTCTCCTCTAGGATACTAGTTTTATTTCATCCCTGCACTGCCTTTTACCTTCAGTTTGGATACTTTTTACAGTTTATGCAGAGTGCAACCAAACAAATGTAGCTTCAGCCTCTCATCTGTGCCATGTGAGCCTCTGCCAGCTTCTTGTAACCCAGTGACCAGGAGGAAGTAGCCGCCCAGAAG